CACCCCAAAGATATCCCACATTGTTATGGTCAAAACAAACCAAAGGTCCTCCTGAATCACCTTTACAGGCATCTACAGAACCATCATCAGTACCTGAAATAAGAAAAACAAAAAGAGTTGCCTATGAACATTCTTCATTTTATATTTTAAAGCAGAAGTTCACATGATATTTGCTGGTCATTCACTGAAAATGTATTACTATATATGCAGTATATTACTTGTATGCTATGACTTTTAATCTAAAGTGTTTGTAATTCATTCAGTTAAATTATTGTTATCACTCATATTATTATTATTATTTTACTTTACTTTATTTTATTATTTTTTGAGATTTACATCTTGTCTTTCCTCCAGGAGTTCAAGGAATATACACAGGATTCCTTGTCCCATTTTTACTACAACCAACCATCCTGTGAGGTATTGAGATATTGTGATTGAAGTGATAGTAATTGATTCAATGTCAGCATTAAGCTTTTATGACTGAGGTAAACCTGAACTCAGATCTCCCAAATCCCTAGTTCAATATGCAAACCTTTATTCTATACTAGCTTTTAATACTGAATTAAAACAATGTCAATCAGGAAGAAAACCCAAAGTGCATATAATAAACTAGTGTGCCCAGAGCTGAACAGATGTTGCCAATGAAATTCTTTCTCAAAACAAGACATACGTTTTAACTACCTATCCATAATTGATTTGTGATGGCTGGAAAGGAATGCATTCTAGATTGGGATGATATATTTAATATTGAAATTTTCATTGAGCCCAACATTTGATGATCCATTTCTATCTACCAGCTCAGGTATTGATGTCAGAATAGAGGTAAGAATGATATATTTCATGCTCACCGGCACATTCCATTCCTTTGAAATACCGATTCTTGTAGATTTCTGAACAGTTATCCATTAGAGTAACATAACCCCATTTAAGAATATATTGTCTTGTGGATCCTAAACAAGAAATGAGAGAAGAGTCAGATAAATCTTAATTATAAAATGATTTCCAAGAGGTTGTCAAATTCAAATTGACTCAATTGAGCCAATTCTTTTTGTGGCAAATAATAATTACATTTTTTAAAAAAAACAATAATGTATGTCTTTTTTCAAAATATATACATCACAGTGCATTTTTTCATCCTATTTAAGAATACTGCATTTTTGCACATTTTTTTCCTTGTGGTATTGGCCGTTCAGCGAGACAGTCTCAGCGACCCTCTGCTCTCCCTAATGCAGTCGTTGAAAGACCATGTGGGCCGTTAAATGGAGTGTGGGATGCTTCAGGGGTGAGTCGAGGTCTGCCATACCTCTTGAGATACCCCATGTTCCACTCTCCACTTATCAGGGTCCCCACAGTTCTTGGACCTGCTTTCCCCCACACCAGGTCCTTGCAGATATTCCCCCTCTTCACCAGGTTGCTGCATGCCTTTGGCCTCCTCCCCAAAGCCCTGTCATCCATTGCGCACTTATAGTTTGAAGATCTCCATAGCTCTGGCTCTTTCCTCAGCTCTGTGCAGACTGCATTAGGAAAACAGAACAGTATTGTCTGTCCCTGGGCCACATGGCAGTCTCTGGGAAATGGGTGCCATTTTGACATGCCTGTAAAGAATTATGGGAATGCTGAAATTGGAGGTCTCTTCTGGGAGGCAGCCAAACATCCCAGGGACAAGTGGCCTGCCCTCCTACCCCAACATGAGGTCCAAAGATCTTCAGAAAATAAATGGGGCACAGACAGGCCCAAGGCTGGAGGGACCCGGCAGGGTGAGATGTGGGGAGAGAGGCTGGGCAGCTGCTACAGCATCCGTACTGCAGGTTGTAAGGGCAAAGGATAATAATAATAATAATAATAATAATAATAATAACAATAACAACAACAACAACAACAACAACAACAATAATAATGATAAAGTTGGAAGGGACCTTGGAGGTCATCTAGTCCAACCCCCTGCTCAGGCAGGAAACCCTATACCATTTCGGACAAATGGCTGTCCAGTTTCTTCTTAAAAACTTCCAGTGTTGGCGCATTCACTGCTTCTGGAGGCAGGTTGTTCCACTGGTTAATTGTTCTAACCGTCAGGAAGTTTCTCCTTAGTTCTAGGTTGCTTCTCTCTTTGGTTAGTTTCTATCCATTGCTTCTAGTCCTGCCTTCAGGCGCTTTGGAGAATAGCTTGACTCCCTCTTCTTTGTGGCAGCCCCTGAGATATTGGAACACTGCTATCATGTCCCCCCTTGTCCTTCTCTTCATTAAACTAGGCATACCCAATTCCATCAACCTTTCCTTATATGCTTTAGCCTCCAGTCCCCTAATTATCTTTGTTGCTCTTCTCTGTACTCTTTCTAGAGTCTCAACATCTTTTTTACATCCTGGTGACCAAAACTGGATGCAGGGTTCCAAGTGTGGCCTTACCAAGGCATTGTAAAGTGGTATTAACACTTCACGTGATCTTAATTCTATCCCTCTGTTAATGCAGCCTAGCACTGTGTTGGCTTTTTTGGCAGCTGCAGCACACTGCTGGCTCATATTTAAGTGATTGTCCACTAGGACTCCGAGGTCCCTCTCACAGTTACTACTATTGAGCAAGGTACTATTGAGCAAGGCTTTGGGGGGAGGGGGTGTCTGTCATAACTTCAAACAGTGGCCAGATGTTAAGTGAGGACTACCTGTACCTAGCAAATTTTATTTATTGAAAACATTTATCTAGCCACCCATCTTATATCAAACTGGATGATTGCCAATCAACAATTACAACATTATAAATAAAAGGGACCTCCTTTGCTTTCCATCATCAAATGGAACCGACAGCCACTGGAGCTTCAATAGGTGCTAGAGTATGTGTATATTCGCTCTGAAGAAAACATTTTTATAATCTCACCAAATAGTAAGCATTAATTACCTTCATCAAGTCCCCAGCCAGAAACTTTACACTGATGACCACCTCCGAACATATATTGTGACCAGGGAATGCACACTGGCACGGTATCAGGTGGAGAACATGGAGTCCCCTCATTTTTCGTTTTCATCTCCAGCAAGGCAATATCATTTTGATATGTTTTGGAATTATAGTGTTCATGTATTATCATGTCCTTTAAAGAAAATGTTTCTACCCTGCTATTGAACTTTATTGAGTCTACTACCCCAGTCCAAATCTTATAAACATGGAGACGGCTCCTCCTAGCAAAAAGAAAAAAACAGAGAGGAAGAGAAATATTGATTAAAATATAACTTAATAGAAAAGTAAATTTGGCTCTAATTAGATTTTGAGTTAAGAACCAAAATGTTTTATATAATTTTCCACTTTTAGAGACACATTTACCCAATTGATAGGAAGGCAGATTCTTAATAAACATTAGAGAAAATCCCCCACAATAGGAATACTTTAATGGTAGATTCAATTAGTCAAAGTTGTGGTGAGCCTTTGCTGAATGTATTCAAGTGGAGGCTACATGGCCTTCTGTTAGGAGTAATTAATTTGGATTCCTGAACAAAGCAAAGGAGTCAAGTTAATGGTGTGAATAATCTTAACTCTTTCAGTTTCATAGATATAGATATTTCTAACATTCATTAGAAAATCTGTATTTAGTCATTCCTGAGACACTACCAAAGCACTCAATGACTTGTGAACTTCTGAGGCGCTACCAAAGCACTTTTATGACATGTGGACTTCAACTCCCAGAATTCCTGAGCCAGCAGATACTTTAAACACAAGCACCTATGTCTATGTCTCTATTTGTCTAATCCCACAAGCACTATATATTGAACTTTGAAATGGCTTTCTTATCTCTGTCCCACATTCAACCACCACTCTACATAATCCAAAAGAAGACCTTGGAGGTAGATCTACAAGGCAAATCAAATACTAACAGCCATACCTTCTTCCTCGCAGACATATATTACAAGCAGAATTTGATACTCTGTTATTATATTTCCAGAACTAAGTAAATAACTTTGAATAGATTTATTAAGAAAACTTTCAAAACTAAAAATAGTTGGGCTGTTATGGTTATAATATAAGATTTTATCTGAAGTTCTGTTTTTCTTTAGTCGTCGTTACAAGAAAGTCCCAATCAGCTTAATTTAGAACTTTAAGGAATTATAACAATACCAAAGGTCTCCTACCGAACGCAGTGTGCAGCGGTCAAAATCCAACAGCCTCCAATGTACACCCCACCACAGTTCATTGTTTGCCCTTCGCCTCTAATGGCCACTTGCCAGGGAAAGTCATGCTATTAAAAAAAGGGAAAGAGGCTGAAGAAAATCAGTGTACGGTAACTATCTGGATTGTTACAGATATTGCACTTTTAAAAACCAGAACAGTTTTCGATAAAAAATTTACATATATACCCAGCAAGCTCTTCTTTTATCCATTAGTGGATTTATTTAATCTACAGACTCAGCAAAATGTGTAGAATAAATAGCAATTCTCCAAATACTACAGAACATTAATTTTACTTGTGCTGTCCATTCTGGCTCTGTATCTTACAGCTAGAGAAAGAGAGAAGGGAGAAATAAGAAAGCAGGGACATAAAGATTGAAACTATAACATGAAAATTAACTTCTCATTATATTCTCCAGATTTTTACCCTTTATTCACTTCCGAGGCACTACCAAAGCACTCAATGACTTGTGGACTTCTGAGGCACTACCAAAGCACTTTTATGACCACAACTGAGCCCAAAATGTCCCTTGCTAAGCAAGACAGTGAGTGACTTTTGCCCCCTTTTACGACTTTTCTTGCCACAGTTGTTAAGTATTTTGCTGCAGTTGTTAAGTTAGTACAGTGGTTCTCAACCTTTTTAATGCTGCGACCCCAACCGGTCGTAAGTCGAGGACTAAACCGGTTGTAAGTCGAGGACTAAACCGGTCGTAAGTCAAGGACTACCCAACCGGTCGTACGTCGAGGACTTTCCCTGCCCGGGAGCGCCGCACATGCGTGGTTCCGCCCCTTGCGCCGGCCGAGGTGTAGCTGGCAAGCGGCAGAGACGGAGCAGGCCGACCACCAGCTGGCCCAGCCCAAGGGAGGTAAGGCACCCGCCGGAAAAGGGGAAAAAATGGTGGACAAAAAAAATGGCGGACAGCCTTGCTTGGCAACCCCCGTGAAATTGTCGATCGACCCCAAATGGGGTCCCGATCCACAGGTTGAGAACCACTGAGTTAGTACAATGATTGGTAAGTGAATCTGGCTTCCCCATTGACTTTGCTTTTAAGGTTGCAAAAAGTGATCACATGACTCCAGGATACTGCAACCATCATAAAACATGTCAGTTGCCAACATCCAAATTTTGATCACATAACCATGAGGATGCTGCAAGAGTAGTAAATGTGAAAAAGAGTCCTAAATCACTTTTTCATCACTGTTGTAATTTCAAATGTTCGCTAAATGAACAGTTGTAATTCAGGCCTACCTGTATTGCACCCAGTTAGTACACTATGTATGTATTTTTATCAGTGTTATAGTTTAACCAATTGCCATCCTTTGCATTTACCGGTTTTGCAGTAAATCCACCTATGACTCTCTTCCGACGAGTAACTGTGTGATTTGTAATGCCACAGGATATTACAGGCAATAAAGTCTTTGTCCTTTTTCTTTCTTTAATAAAACATAAACAGTGTCATAATACTCATACACTAAGGTTCTTTAAAGCCTTTATTATGAAAGATTTAATCTTAACTACTTCTACAATTGTCTTAATTTTAGAGAGTTATCCCAGATGTCCACTGAAAATCAATATGGTAAAATTCTAATAACTGTAAAATTAGAGTTCTGTTCAGAGCTACTTTAAAAATGGATGATATTTCAGTTTAGTAAATTGCTTTACTCCAACTGTTGTATCCAACCTTACTGGGACATTGTCACATCCTCAGAATTTAAAAATGTGAAAATACAGAAGATTGCTTTTAAAGTATCAGGTTTTATGCTAATTTATCTACACATTTACCTTCATCCACGGACTCTATAACTTGATTTGAGTCTCCTGCAAGAAAATAAAAAAACCCAATTAATTTGAAAGTATTGTAAAAGAAATTTTCCCAGTAGAGAATATATATAAATTACTTTAGTTGAACAATTACTTGTTAACATTAGACTGTCCCATTTATGTGGCTTTTAAGAGCTTTTTGATGCTTAATAATTAGAATTGGTCTCCACATGCACATAATATCTGTTTTTAAAAAATATAAAAGTAAATTAATGGATTATGACTACAACAGAGTATCATATGCTGCAGATTGTTGGTAGGATTGTTGGTAGAGCAGGGATGTCAAACTGCCGGCCCATGGGCCAGATGCATCATGCCGAAACCACGCCCACCTCATTGCCGGCAATGGGAAAAAAGTCGCGATACGTTGCGACACGTCATGTTGTTGCGAGTTTGACACCTCTGCAGTAGAGTATCACATAATTAAATATCTCCTTGTGTAGAATGTCAATACCTCCTTCGAGCCCCTATTGGTTTTCAGCATTACAGGTGCTTTGATTCTACAATGGTTAATCACATTCAGCCATACAGCCTAAGAGTCCAAGATGAACAGTAGAGCACATAGACTCAATTCAGACCTGCTTCTGCCTAGCAATTGATGTGTTCACCTTTAAAACAAAGGAAGCATAAATACCATCTCCCAATTTATCTTATGAAGCAGACAATGAAAGAGCACAAAATTACAGAATAATGGTATTAGTAAGGAGATATTATCTTTAAAGCCTACATTTACTTTTATCAATAGCCAAATTTATCTTTGTTGCTTCTTTTTCTTCCTTCTGTTTCTACTGAAGTAAAATAATAGTTAACATTTATATGGCTATGGAGATTTCCAATCATCCAGGTCACGGTTGTCTGAAAGGAGCTTTTTCAAGAGGCAACTGGACTTTCTTGTTTTTCTTTGAAGATGTTTCGCTTCTCATCCAAGAAGGACACAGATAAACCTCCAAGTGGCCTCAACAACTCTCTAAAACACCGGTGTCAAACTCGCCACGTTGCGTGACGTGTCGTGACGTATCGTGAGTTTTTTTGCATTGCCAGAGCTGGGGTGGGCACGGCCTCCGTATGATGCAACCGGCCCACGGGCCAGAAGCTTGACACCCCTGCTCTAAAAGAATGCAAATGACCAGCTGTCTGCAAGGAATATTAATCCTTCCATTCCCCACCATCCAGTCAGAGCTGAAGAAGCTTCTTGGATGAAAAGCGAAACATCTTCAAAGAAAAACAAGAAAGTCCAGTTGCTTCTTGAAAAAGTACCTTTGGGACAGTTAACATTTAGCTGAAATTCTTATTATTTGCCTTTTAAATCTTATTTAACACCTAAGTATAGTGTCAAAAATAAGATCTTGAAAGGTAGTCAAAGAAAATTATTATACAATTAATATTCAGTATGACATTAATAAAAGATGAACTGTATAGAACAAAATTCATGGAGTTATTTTTATAGTATAAAAAGAATATAAACCTTGAAACCTAATGCAAAAATCTCCATTGTGTTATTATATTCATAGATGCTAAAAAAATAAAGTCATTGACTGCTATTAATTGTCATCCAGACAATTGCAGCCCATATATAAAAGTCCTTGTTTAAACTCTTATTTTTCTAATTATTGCATATGAAGTTTATTTTATGTCTTTTTAAGCTCCCTTTCAAATCAAGATTTCCAAGGACACAGATAGAGCTTATTAAAATTATTCAGTGGAATTATTACCTCAGACAAAAAGTCAGACAACTTCCACCCCTATTAAGTGGTTTCCAGAAAAGAGCTGGGATGATAAGAGACAATCCCATTTAAGATTAGAATAAATAGAGAAAAAACATACAAAGAATTTTACCTTTTTTACTTCTTCCAGTTTTATTACCTATTGAAAATATACATGAATACAAAAAATGATTTAAAATTTAAAAAGTGCAATTTTATACAAAATCACATATGCAAACTATGATGTGAAGTGAGCCAGTTTGTTTCAACCCACTTGCAATAATTAGGCCCACAAAACTCACTTTAAAAAAAAAAGAATGTGATTGTATTCATTCCAAGTAAAATCCTGTGTGAGTCATATTAAAATGAATAATATACCAGCCTTCTGTAATTAGGTTTCTCTAAACAAAGAAATCTTTGTTAGGTTTTCTTGATCAGTTCTGCATACTTTCAGCCACCATTGCCCTTGAGAAGTTAAGCTCTTTGAATGTAAGATACCAAGATCAAGAAGTTGCTTGTATAAATCAGAGATTTGGAATTGCTAAACTATGAGGTTTATCTGATCCACTCACTTCATTAGTGGATACTCCACTGACTTTTACCTGTGCCTTGTCCTTCCCTTGGGACCTATTTGGAGGACAAAAAGAAAACTAGTGGATGCCCACTGTGATAGCATTCTTCCAAAAATACAATATACAGGTAGTCCTTGACTTACGACCACAACTGAGCCCCAAAATTTTGTAGCTATGTGTGACATTTGTCAAGTGAGGTTTGCCCAATTTTACAACTTTTCTTGCCACAGTTGTTAAGTGGATCACTGCAGTTGTTAAGTTAGTAACACAGTTGTCAAGTGAATCTGGCTCTCCCATTGACTTTCCTTGTCAGAAAGTTACAAAAGGTAGTCACATGATCCTGGGACACTGCAGCCATAGATATGAGTCAGTTGCAAAGCATCTGAATTTTGATCGTGTGACCCTGGGGATACTGCAATGGTCGTAAGTGTGAAAATGGTCATAAGTCACTTTTTTCAGTGTGATTGTAACTTTGAACGGTCACTAAATGAACTGTTGTAAGTCAAGGACTACCTCTACATCCTACATTCCTTAGTAGAGAATATACATATATTGTTTAGGACTGAACCGTTTTCTGAGATTGTTTTTTTTTCCTGCTGTCGTTTTACAGAACAGGTAATGAAACATCTACAGAAAAACAACCAAACTCAGACAATACCAAGGATCCAACAATAATCCTGCCTTGTCAGTGACAAAATATACTTTGTCACTGTCAGTTGGGAAAATGTAAGGTGGTTCCTGCCAGTTTGTGATATAAGTCTATCCCATTGTGGAAAGGAATTTTTTGAAATCAGTTCAGCAGTTCTCACATTCCTGACCATACAAAGTTTTGAAATCAACTAGCTCCAGCCATTTCACTTGATTCACTCCTTCTTTTAAGAAAATGCATAAATCCAAGAAGGAAGGCTTCAAAGCGAAAGTATTGCCCCTTGATCTCATTCAACTCTTCAACCAATCTAGATTGAAATCCCTGTTGTAAATCAGATTATCAGATCATCAGGAACGGTTGCTGGAATTGGGTATGTCTTTTTAATGAAGAGAAGGACGAGGGGGGGGCATGGTAGCAGTATTCCAATATCTCAGGGGTTGCCACAAAGAAGAGGGAGTCAAGCTATTCTCCAAAGCGCCTGAAGGCAGGACAAGAAGCAATGGATGAAAACTAATCAAGGAGAGAAGCAACCTAGAACTAAGGAGAAACTTCCTGACAGTTAGAACAATTAACCAGTGGAACAACCTGCCTCCAGAAGTGGTGAATGTGCCAACACTGGAAGTTTTTAAGAAGAAACTGGACAGCCATTTGTCCAAAATGGTATAGGGTTTCCTGCCTGAGTAGGGGGTTGGACTCGATGACCTCCAAGGTCCCTTCCAACTATTATTATTATTATTATTATTATTATTATTATTATTATTATTATTATTATTATTATTATTATTATTATTATTATTATTATTATTATTATTATTATTATTATTATTATTATATTGTGTGCTTATCATATTCACCCAACTGGAATCTAGCTAGCTGTACAAAAACCTCTATTGTATGCTAATTTTAAATAGCAATAATAGCTGATTCTAACGTGATATCTGAAATTTATTAAAATGCTTATATTCATGGGGGAAATTACTGTTTTAACCTAGCCATAGATAATTTTAGAAAGCAATGCTTACAATTGAGTTCATCTTCTCCTGTTAGGCAGTCCAATTCATTATTACATACAGAGCTGCTTGGAATACACACATCTGAGTTACAATGGAAAGTTTTCCTTTTGCAGGCTATTGGAAAAGAAATAATTGAGTATATAATAAGTAAGGGCTCCTTAAAAGTTATACCAAGTACTATACTACGAATACATATGTTTATATAGAACAGATATATGAAGGAAAGGAGCATACCTTTGCAACATAATTCATCACTTAAATCACCACAGTCATTAAGTCCATCACATGTTTTAGTTGAAGAGATACATTTCCCATTGACACAGCGGAATTCTCTGGGGCTACAGTCTGACAAGTTGGATAAAAAAGCAATAGTTTGTTAATAATGGTGTGAAAAATAAAATAGCTGCATCGGATTACTCCATGTTGCCTTCCAAATCTGCTGGAATATAGATAGGTCCCATTACCCTCAGTTACCGGTAGTCCTCAACTTACAACAGTTCATTTAGTGACCATTCGAAGTTACAACGGCACTGAAAAAAGTGACTTGTGACCATTTTTCAGTTACAACTGTTCTGAAAAACGTGACATATGACTGTTGCAGCATCTCCATGGTTATGTGGTCAAAATTCAGACACTTGGCAACTGACTCATATTTATGATGATTGCAATGTTCTGGGGTCATGTGATCATCTTTTGCAATCTTCTGACAAGTCTTGCCCCTTGTCAATGGGGAATCCAGATTCACTTAACAACCATATTACTAACTTAAGAACTGCAGTGATTTACTTAATAACTATGGCAAGAAAAGTCATAAAATGGGGCAAAACTCTTAACAAATGTCTCACTTAGCAACAGAAATTTTGGGCTCAATTGTGGTCGTAAGTCGAGGACAACCTATAGTAACGCCTCTGGAAAGCATCAGCTGAATTTTAGGGGAGAAAATTCTGATAGCAAGAGCAGTTTGACAATGGAATCATTGATGAATGAATGAAGGAGATAGTAACTTCTCTTCATTCATAGGAATTTAAGTGAACACTAGAGAGATATCTTTCAGGGTATTCATTTTGGCTTCTACGACAGAAGAGAGGATTGAACTCAATGACCTTAATGCCCTCTTCTAATTGAATCAATTAGGATTCAGTCACATCCATTCACAAAAAAACCTACTAAGGCCAGATCATTGCAGTGGCTACAGAATGCTGTTTGTCTCTTGACAGGAGAATAACAAAATCAAGGCAACAGATTAAAAGTGGATATGCCTGGCTGGAACACTAAAAACCAGCATTTTGCATTATATTTTGTTGCATATTTCTTTTGTCTCTAACTTCTAATTATAATATCAGAATTGGCTAGTTATTTATAATATACATTTTACCAACCTCTTTGTTCTGTATGGCATATCACCTTAGCCAACTTCCCAATGGTCAAACGCATTTTCTTTAAACCACACTCAGCTAGACTCGTCTCTGTCCCTCTACAAGTTGCTTTAAGGCATTCATGTGAATTCTGGTCTTCATCTGGCTCAACAGATTCTTTGCCATCAGCTCCTCTGTACAATTCAGCAAAAAATCAAATCAAATCAAACGTATTCAAATGCTCATATTTCAGCATTCTGGGTAATGGAATGTTTGCCAACAAATAATCAAGTTCATAGTGCACCAAGGACTCTGTAACAGTGAGCTATCTTCTTCAGGATTTTATTTTTTGGTTAATAGTTTATTCTATAATCAGCAATAGAAAATCACCTCTTCCTCATCCACCCATAGTGAATTATTTGAGGAAAAAAATAATTTTCTATCAAGTAAAATAAGTGCTGTCCTCTTTTTAAAAACTTCATGTTCTTCTGGCCATAAAGAAGCAGCTATATGATTGCTATAAAATATTTATTCATTCAAGTGTTAGATTATACATGAATTTAATCACACATTTTTGCTCTGGCCCGTCTATTTTTTTCCTGCCCATTCCAGCTTTTGAGTATTGGCCTCACTGCATTACACGAGACTGAATGAGGCTCTTGGCCCCACCAAGGTTGCTGATGCTACTTGAAGTGAACAGACTGAAATTTTATTCATAGATGACATTATCAATAGATTGTGATTTTGTAATGATACTTGTAAATCTACACATTGGAGAAAGCTGCTCTAACATATTTTCATTTCTTTTTAAAAAAGGAAGATATTGGAAGTAAAATAGAGCTACTGTTCTCTAAAGAGTATTTTATTTAAAGTTATTAGCACAAAATATTTTATTCTATTAGAGAATCTTACTCAGCAAAACCAAGATGTTTGCAGATCACGTTTGCTTCATGGATGGTTAATCCTTTCTCACATAAGAATGATTTCTCTGAGTTGCTCAGTTCAACTTGAATAATTCCTTCCGAGCTTGCATTTTTATGACTGAAGAGAACATTAAAGCGAGCTAGAAAACACAACAAAGTCTATTAATATTTATGTTTATGCACCTTACAAAAGACAAAGATCGATTTTACTAGCTATAACCTGGCTAATCTATAGTGGTAATGCACAAATGCTCCAATAAAACAACTTGTTATGTAAATATCTACAAATATATATTTGTAAAAAAAAAATGCCACTGGAATATTTTTTAAAAAAATATGAGTTTAATAGAACTTTCTTCTGATTGCAAGGAGTAGACCAGTGTTTCTCAACCTTGACAATTTTAAGGCATGTGGACTTCAACTCCCAGAATTCCACAGCCAGCTTTGCTGGCTGTGGAATTCTGGGAGTTGAAGTCCACATGCCTTAAAATTGTCAAGGTTGAGAAACACTGGAGTAGACAGTCTCCATCCCTCCAATTTATTTTTAGTAGCCCACTTCTCACAATCCTACTCTTGTTTGAGCCATTTATGAAAGAAAACCAGGCATATGAAGGGGAAATACATAGCAATCATTAGAATTTGGCCCAAAATTGAACAGAATTACTCAAAGTATCTATCATTGTCAAAATATTTCTATGTTGTACTTCAGTCTTAAAGCTTGTCTCCTCTCACTAATGATGGCTGAAAAAGGGAAAAACAGTCTCTTTTTTTTTTTTACCTTCACGGTTACACAAGCCTCTGCTCAAAAATTTGCTCGATCTTTGGCGACATTCATAACTTTTTAGCTGACAGTAAGTTTGGAAGCTCCTTCTGGTAGTGGAACAAACTAAAGTGCCATTTCTGGGGCACTGGTAAGGTATTTTACAGTGACAAGTTCCTTCTATACACGTCTGCCAAGGCTGACAAAAAACCTTTTCACAAGATTGCTCTGTGTAATTGTTCTCCAAACATTCCTCTATCAAGTAACTATTTTGCTAAAAAAAGAAAAGAAAACACAAGTTATGAAATTAACTCATTCCCTTAAGGTTTTTAAATATATACTTCACAGGAAGTTTATTTAACAGCTTAAAATACACCTTAAAATATAGCAAGGAAAGTTACTCAACCACAATTTAATTAAAATAAAAGCTTACCCCTTGTGCAAAAACATGATGTGACAGGTATAATATAAACAAAAGAACTGATCCTTGTGTCATGATGAAGAAAAACTGCACACCCAGAACAGATTTTTGGTCTCAAATCCTCTCTTAGATACCTGTGTTTAATTTTTAACTATAAACAAATATTTAAAATATAATAGTGGTGATTCTACTGTGGTGATTCTAGAATTCTTGATTCTTTCGAAAAGGGTCTTCTACTCAGTTTCACCCTAAGTACAAGAAAAGATTGCTATAAAAAGTAATATAAAGAAAACGCTTATTTGTACTATTTTGTGCTTAATCCTCGAAACCCTGCCTCAACACTTTGTTTTCTACACAGGCACTTCCTTTATGTGCCTCTGTAGAACAGTCCTAATACACAAATCGTGATTGGCTGTTATTTGCATAATAAACAGTAAGTTTATATCAAGGTTATGTTTGGTCAGTTGCTCAAATCTTTGAAATAGAAAGGAGAGAAATGCAAATAAGTTCTTCCTTATGTTGGAGATAAAGAAATAAAGCAGAATAGTACTAAAATACAAATCAAATTACGAAACCATGGAATATCAAGCAATTTGATTAGAGATTGCAGCAGTAATTAGAATCAATTAGATTCTTATCTGCATTAAAATCAAATTAGTGTAGCACTACTTGTATAAGATTGATGATCACCCTATTAAAACCAGTGTTGTAAGATTAATTTCATTTTTAGGCAGAGGGTAAAAAGGAAGTGGAGAGAAACGCAAAGATTTTATAACATTTATAATTTTTAAGAAGAGTTGAAAAGGAAGTGGAGACAAATAAAAACAATGCTGAGTTTCTTTTTACACAGATATCTAGTTTATTCTACCTCTAGCTGAAAAAGGGTAGATTACTTTTTCTTGCCTTCTCGTATTACAAAATTAAAACAAATAGTGTAACAACAAATTTCCCAGGAAACGTTGTTTAATAAGTAACAAGATATTGGCTAGGAACTGCTTCAGGATATTAACACTAATAAAAGACCTTTGATATATTTCATTTGAAATAAGATAAAATGACACAGGAAAATGTCACATTGTCTGAAGCTTTTTAATATTAAAGTTGTCTAGCTGTTATTTCCTTCAGTTTTTCATCTATTAAGATGTGTGTGCATTTTGTTTAAAAATTTTGTATTTTAAAAGACAAAATCAATCAGTCCTTTCCTTCCTTCCTTCCTTCCTTCCTTCCTTCCTTCCTTCCTTCCTTCCTTCCTTCCTTCCTTCCTTCCGTTGTCTCCAATTCGGATCTGAGCATGGTGCTGAGGTCGATGAAGAACACCAGACACAAGGTGCAGGTTTTGTTTTCTTTTATTGAAGCGCTCCAAGAATACGGATCCTGGCCAAAATGTCAAGGAACCCCGAACCACAGTATTAATAAAGCTTTATACATTTTCTCTAAAGCAGAAGGCGGGATGAGGTGGGATGTATAAGAAATATCATCTAATAAACATTTCAATAATAATATAACAATTATTCTATTGGTTTCAAGCAGTCCCTATCTCTAGGCCTTGGCTAATGAATGCTTCAGGAGTTATCTAATACACATAATATTTGCTCCAGGCCAGGGGTCTTCAAACCTGGCCCTTTTATGACTTGTGGACTTCAACTCCCAGAATTCCTCAGCCAGGCACGCTGGCTGAGGAATTCTGGGAGTTGAAGTCCACAAGTCATAAAAGGGCCAAGATTGAAGACCCCTGTTTCAGGCCATCTCTATTCCTAACTTTTAGCTGAGCTTGCAAGATGCCTAAGTCTTTTGTTACTTTTATCAGCTTTTTGACCACACAGAATTATTACAAGCTTTACATGTCATATTCCCTGTGAATAAACATTCTTTGTTCTTGCTAGACAAACTCCCCAATTACAGGCTTCCTGGTCTCCTTTCAAGTGTATGCCATAATCTTGCTTTATTTTGGCAAACAGCCCATCACTTCCTTCCTTCATTTTCTGTAACTTTGGATCCCACAGCTGGAGCTAGAGGCACAGATTGGGATCTTGTCCTATTGCATGGTTTATTATGACTAATGAAGGGGGAAGACCTTTTTTTTTTTTTTTAAATGACTTTAGCCTGTTAGTTTTTTGAAATACTGTAAAAATATATTTAAATCCAAACCTGCTTTCACTCTCTAATTCTCTATATACCTATTTGGCAATAAGAGCCTCATGAATATGCATTTGTTTATGAGGTTTCAAACACAGACTATAGACATTTTTTCGCTAAGCAGTTGTACATTCTTCCCATGGTTCCTGGAAGAATTGCACAATATGTCATCATACACTATTAACCATAACAGGGATGTAAATAACAGGTTTGGTTGCAATCTGGCTTTTATAAATATTTCTGTGTCCAGAGTACTGAGATTTTACACTAAACAACCTTCGCTCTGTTGGGTCATCTTTTCAGAAATATTTACTTAAACAGATACATAAAATGACCATTGGAGGAGGGGAAGCAGTGGGAGTGGGAGCAATTTCTGACTTTCTGCTAGCTTCCCCATTGATTTTGTGTGTGGGAAATTTGCAGGGAGAAAATCAGTGGGGAAACCAATTGGGGAAAGTCACAGGTTGCTCTGGTAAGTTTTCCCCACCCACACACTCTCCCCAAGGGCTGCACTCATGTGGTCACTCATGCACCCTCCCTGACCCTCACTGCACCTCTTGGGCACCCCGTCACATCATCACCAACCCTTGCCACACCACACCATCTCATGCACCATTTCATTCCCTTGCCCACCCAGCACCAACAACTTACCTGCCTGCTGGCCTTGCATTTGCAAACTTCCTGCTGGCTTTCCCACTGATTTTGCTTGTGGGAAACTTGCAGGAAGAAAGACAATGGGGAAGACAGCAGGAAAGGGTGCAAGTTTCTCAGGTAAGTTTCCCTCACCTGCATTCTCTCCCAGACCTTCTGTACTTGCACTAGCTACTCATGCAACCCTGGCATCCTCCTGGATTTGCAGAACACTCTCATACACCCTCCCTGACCTACATCTTCTTCAACTTGCTCTGTACATTGCATGCACATCTTCTGTCACACACTCGCACACTCTTATTGACTATCATGGCCCCATTGGAGCCTGGTTTGGAGGAGGAGGATTTTGAACCAGGATTGTCCAACAGGGATGACACGTCTCCCTTGGCATGTTTGGAGAGGCCAGGGGCTGAGTACGATGCTGTCCTAGGCCCCTCAGGCATTAGGGGAGATGGTTGAGCAGACAGAGAGCTACATACAGTGGTAGGATTCAGCTGGTTCGTACCAATTCAGCAGAACTGGTAGCTCATTTTTTGTTGCCAAGACCCAGAATTGGTGGCATCCACACAGAGAACCAGTTGTTCACATATCTGAATTCCACCACTGAGTATCTTCACAGACACAGGGGTGGATTGGCTGCTGACAGGCAGTGGTGCTGATAGGCAGCAGATCTCCTCTAATGAGGAACAGCTGCCTCCTCCACTCAATCCAAGGGCATGGAGAGCAAGCAGAGTGTAGGCAAACTCAGAGAAGGGCTTCAAGGCTACTCAGAAGGTCACCCCACCCCTCCTCACAAGAAACACCTGGAGTGGAATGACTTAAGGAGAAGCCATGGGGAGTTAGTCTTTCCCAGAAACAATTGTTTTTTTTGGCTTACGCTCCCCCAGTTTTGACTAGTGCCTTTTGCCTTGCCTTGCTTTGAAGACTGCTTTTCATCTTTTGCTTTGCCTATCCTTGAGGACTGCTTTCTGCCTTTTGTCTTGGACCTTGCCCTTGCCTTGTGGACTACTTTTGACTACTTTACTTTGCTTTGCCTTTAGAACTTTCTCTTGTCTTGTATCTTGTCTTTGTCCTGAGGACTGCCAGTTGTCTTGTGCCTCTATTCTGCCTTGTGGACTCGCTTAGCCGGGTGGATTTGGACTTGGAATCCTGGACTTTGCCCTGTGAGCGTGCTCCTACTATGGACTGTATTTGTAATACAGGGGCTGTTGTTTGGGGGTCTGAGAGTAGCTGCCTTCAGGGTAGCATGGGGTGGAGGGCCGTTTGCTAGAACATTTATTGAGAGCAATAAAGGACTCTCTAGAGGCCTTCCTTGCCTTGACCACCTGGGTCATAACGCTGACCTGCACCACCATGCACTCTCCTTGATCCTTGCTTCCCTTCTCCTTACCTTCTCATTCCCTCCCACATCTGACCACTTACCTGCCTGCTGGCTTTGGAGTTGCAACTTTCTGTCAGTTTTCCCACTGACTTTGCTTGTGGGAAACTAGTAGGGAGATAAGAATCACGGTTGAGTTTAGACTTTCTGCCACTGTCCCCATTGTCTTGTGGGAAGCTTCAGCATTTGTAATGACTAGTGACTATGGCAGCAATCTTTTCCAAATTTCAATCCCATGGGAGTAATGGTTCCTGGATTTTGGACGCCTTCTGTAAGTTAGCCCATTTGAGGTACCTTGGTTCAAAAACTGTTGTCCTATGATACATTGGTTCGCCCAACTGAAGGTTACAAACAGACAATATGCAAAGCATCCAGAACTGCTGGAAGCTGAGGAACATAAATTTAATAAATAACTATTATTATCCAATTTTAACATTGTTATTATTTCTTTAAATTTATTGGCTAGTCAACTCCAGTGCATTTTGGGCAGTGTACAAAATTTTTTAAAAATGTAAAAATAGCCAAAGATAATAAATAGTCTGGACTAAGAACAAAACCCACAAAACAAAACCATTGAGCAAGTAACAAATATCAAACCCAAGCCTAGGACCAAAAGTAGGTTTTCAAAGTTTTTTGGAAGCCCAGGAGAAAGGGTGCCATATCTGGGGGGGATGCTGCTCCAGGGGGTGAGGGAGGCACTCCTTGTGGACCAAAACCCACTTCAGTAAATAAATTGGCTATTATGCCAAAGTAGGAGGAAATACATATTGACGATGACTACCTAACGCCAGGCAGGCAGCAATGGTCTTGAAACCTTAGCCCATCAATGCTAGAGGTATATTCAATGTCTACCAGGAATTTCTCAGTGTTCCGTAATGGATATCTTCCCCACCTGTCCCATTCTCTACTTCTAATTCTTCTTCTTTGAGGCTGGACTATAATTTAATGAGGAAAGACTAATTACTTTACAATTAGATATAAACCTGAGACAAGGGTACAAATTCCTTGGTAGGCGGGGGGGGGGGGGGAAGAAAAGAAAAGCAGCTACAGAAGAACAACTACCTGTAAACAGCTCTGATGTTAAATTGCTTTAGATGATGGATTAACTTTATATTTGCATATATCAAAGGTTTCTTACCAGTGCAAGGTTTTTTAAAGTGTTTATTTAGAGTGGGCTGTAAATCATTAATGATATATTTCTATAGTTACACTGGAAAACTATGGGCTAAACATGTTATCCTCAGTCCTTGAATGTATTTATTAATTTGCTTTCCATCTTTATTATTTTTACAAACAACTCAAGCTAGCGAACATAATCAATACACCTTCCTCCTCCTATTTTCCCCAGAACAACACTGTGATAGGCTGAGAGACAGTGATAGGCCTAAAGTTACACAGCTGGCTAAGGGGGGACTTGAACTCATACTCTCCTCTTTTCTAGCCTGATGCCTTAACCCAGCGGTTCTCAACCTATGGGTCGCGACCCCATTTGGGGTCGATCAACCATTTCACGGGGGTCGCCAAGCAAGGCTGTCCGCCATTTTTTTCCCCCTTTTCCGGCAGGTGCCTTACCTCCTTTGAGCTGGGCCAGCTGGTGGTCGGCCTGCTCCGTCTCTGCCGCTTGCCAGCTACGCCTCGGCCAGCGCAGGGGGCGGAACCATGCATGTGCGGCGCTCCCGGGCAGGGAAAGTCCTCGACTTACGACCGGTTGGGTAGTCCTCGACTTATGACCGGTTTAGTCCTCGACTTATGACCGGTTTAGTCCTCGACGTACGACCGGTTGGGGGTCGCGGCATTAAAAAGGTTAAGAACCACTGCCTTAACCTCTACCAAAAATACATTCGCCTTACTTGTGCTTGCCCAAGTGGTGCTGTCCATAGTTTTAATATGGGACAAATTAAGGAAATTGGACCCTTCCTGGTTTCCAGAATAAAATCAACCAACCAACCAACCACCAGATCCTATATTTAATATGCGGTAGAGCAAAGTTTGACAAGCATAGGGAAATGATTGATGGAGGGTCTAGCCATCTTTCAAATTGCTCAATACTGCTTTCCTTCCCCCACTGGAGGAACAAACCAACAACCACAATAGAAAGTATAGCCATAGGAAATCTTTGTCAGCAGTAACAAAAGCTTGTAATGTTCTACCAGGAGAGCATGTCAGCTGGCAAAGACCAGCTCTCCTCAGTTTAAATGTGTGTAGGTTGTAGACTATTAAGCTGCAATTAGTCTGCTTTTTAAAAAATCTTTTTAAAATTTTTATTATGAAGTCTTTTATTTAAATCTCTTAATTATGGGCTTCTACCTTATGATTCTGAACAAGTAGGATTTTATGAGACAGTTGCATACAATAGATTTTGTGTTGTATTCTAGACAAAAGCTTGATGTTTATTGTAAAAGTTGGCCTCTAGTATAAGGTAGTGCTTATATGCCCTTTCAGTGATTTAATCGGCAGATTTGTGAGCAACATTTGGGGTTAGTATTTGCTTCTTTACAATATGTTTAAGCAAGAGTCTGTTCAAGTATTCACGTCGCAAAGGAATAAAAACATGATAAATTTGATTTATTGGAGTAAGACTGAAATAAATAGTGAAGGATACCAGGGTGATAAGAGGTGCTGAATATGAACAGATCATTATTTGTATAAACGAGTGAATCTTGGGGTGGGGGAATAAGAATTTAAGAAAAATATAGAATGAAATAGTTTATACAGATCTGATCACATGCTGGAAGGAACAAATCAGAAATTTGTACCAGAAGGACAGTAATGTCAAAAAGTGGGGTTGAAGTTAATGCTTACTATGTTAGTGCCAAAGAGGGGAAAAAAGGAGAAAACAGAAGCCATAAACATTTTGAGAATGGTAAGGCTGCCACATGTAATAAGATCCAGCTGTTCAAATGTAACATACTGTATTTAGGTATACATAATACAGCACTGCACTCTATTAAGATTAGGAATTAAAACTAATACTTAAAATTAGATTTAAGATATAAAAAAGACCCATAAAATTGATTACCAATGAATTCTAAAACTATTGTCTATCCTGCAGTAAACTAACAACATAAAAATAAATAGTAAAGCCTAAAATATTAATAACTGACAGTAAAATTTACGCACGAGAAAAGACTAACTGATGAAGCATGGAGCAGTTATTCACATAATGCAGAAATCAAGTCATTTATATATCTTCATCTGCTTGGAAAATTTCAATTTATTATGCTGAGAAAATTAACAATAACATTTCTCAGATCGGCCTGCAGCACGTAAAACAGAGGAAAAATGAGTCTTCTTTGACTATCATTATAGAAAGAACGGTGCAACAGGAGGAAAGGGAGGAATTCAACCGAGCCATCATCATAAAGGCAGATTTAACTAACCATGAGAAATATTAGCGGAGTGCTGGTTGGGGCTGTGAATTTGCTCCAGCGTCAACCATGGCTTGTCGCTGGCTGCAAATTACTTGCACCACACGCAGGGGCGGGTGGGTAAAAAAAAATATCTAAATCAGTGTTTCTCAACCTTGACAATTTTAAGGCATGTGGACTTCAACTCCCAGAATTCCACAGCCAGCATTGCTGGCTGTGGAATTCTGGGAGTTGAAGTCCACATGCCTTAAAATTGTCAAGGTTGAGAAACACTGAGATTCTAAATGCTGTGAAGCGGAAACGTGATCATTGCTGGGCGGGTGTCTTTTTACAGAAGGATTGGGATTGGTCAAGCATCTGGCGCAGTTTGTTGACATCATCAAAGGTGAGCGGTGGCGTCGCTTTTGAGAAAGAGTGGCGGCCACGTGGGAAAGGGGACAAGTTTCGGGTAGGTGGGAGCAGCCGTGGGTTTGTGGGGTGGGAGGTCTGTCTGAGAGCGGGAGCTGCTTCTGCGTTGCGGTCTCCCGAAGTCTCCTTGGTGTCTTCGTAGATCGAAGTGTGTGTGTGTGTGTGTTTGACTGTGATATACTCACGCGCGCACATATATTCCTGTGTGGGTTTTTTTGTTGTTGTTGAGAATGTATCATTACTTGGGAGAGTAAATTATTGAATGAAAAGAGAATCGATCCTGTACGCAGAGTTGGACTTTTAAAAATATTGTGTTTTTGCGTATTGGCTTCCAGAGTGGGGTTCTTCACGAGTGACTTAGAGACTTTTAGCCTAGTACCAAATTTGATTTGACCCAGGGCTGCGTATTTATTCAGTTTCATTTGCGTTTTGAGAGATGGTTAAGAAAGGTAGTACAGAATAAGGCTCCGAGGTTCAGAAAATAGTTCTATTTGGCATTATCTTAGCTGTCCGCTCCACCCATTTTTCGTTGGATAGAATACAAAACCAGTTGGAAGGGACCCTGGAGATCTTCTAATCCAACCCCTTGCCCCAGCAGGAGACCTTATACTTTTCCGGACAAATGGCTGTCCAATCGCTTCTTTAAAATCTCCAGTGTTTGAGCACTCACAACTTTTGAAGTCAGGTGTTCCACTGATTAATTGTTCTCACTGTCAGGAAATTTCTCCTTAAGTCTAATTTGGATCTCTCTTTGATAACTTTACATCCATTACTACTTGTTTTGCCCTCAGGTTCTTTGGAGAATAGGTTGTCCCTCCCTTCTTTGTGACAACCTCTCAAATATTGGAAGACTACCATCAAGTCACCTACCTGTCCATCTCTTCATTAGGCTAGGCATGCCCAGTTCCTGCAACCATTCATCATATGTTTCAGCCTCTCTGGCCCCTTAATAATCTTTGTTGTACTTCTCTGCACTTATTCCAGAGTCTCAACATCTTTTTTGTATGGTGGGGACCAGAACTACAGTATTCCAACGCACTAGAAGAGATAAGTCTCACTGCAGACATTTGAAGTAGCATTTCAGGCCACCAAAAGAGGTGGGTGGACATTTTATATATTAGTTCTTGCTAACCTGTAAAACGAAGAGGATTTAAAAAATGGATAGATTGCCAACAGTATTGTATCTTGTGCTTAAAAAGTGCATGTTTTCTATGATTGCAATAAACCTGAAGTATTACTTATAGCTAAATTATTTCTTGCTTTGAAATTACTATATTATGTACTAGCTGCCTAAGGAGTATTACAAAGTTGATGGTAATACTGATTAATATGTATGATTGGAAGTTCAGTTGATCTTTTAGACTTGTTATACATATTGAACAGAAAGAAGACATGTCATTTCGAGGGAGAGGTGGAAATAATCGTGGTGGATTCAGCCGTGGTCGCGGTGGTGGTTTCAATAGAGGAGGAAGAGGTGGTGGAAGAGGCGGATTTGGACGTGGAGGAGGACGTGGTGGCTTTAATAGAGGCGGTTATGACCAAGGACCTCCAGAAAGTGTAGTTAGTAAGTATATTGAATACTAGAGAAAATGGAAGAAGCGAGAACCTAGATCAGGGCTTTTCAACTTTTTCACCCATTGTACCACTTTTAGGATATGGCAATATCCGAGTACCACCAGTCGCCTAGCAAGGTGTCAAAAACTTGATGACCAAAAAAAAAAAAGGAAAAAAGTGATAAAGTACAGGTAGTCCTCGACTTACAACAGTTCGCTTAGTGACTGTTCGAAGTTACAATGGCACTGAAAAAAGTTCCCCCCAAGCCACAGCCGAGCAAGACACCTGCCTGCCCACCCGGCGGCACTCTTCCTCCTGTCCGAGGTTTTCATTGTTGTGAGCATTTCTGTTGAGGATTGGCAGTGGGAGTGGGTGGGTGGGTGTTTGGTTTTTATTCCCCCCCCCCCCGTCTGCTGGGTGGTTGTAGCAGGTTTTGGTCACCTCACATGACCCTGGGACACTGTGACCGTCATAAATATGAATCAGTTGCCAAGCATCTGAATGTAAATCAGAAGACCCTGGAGATGCTGCAACATTCCAGCTGATTGGTGCTTCTTCAGGGCTCAGCAGAAGCACCAGGATCAGCGCCGAGCTCCAGCTGGAGCCTGGCGCTGATTCTGGTGCTTCCACTGAGCCCTGACAGTCCCGAAGAAGCGCCGATCAGCTGGAAAGCGGCACTGATCCTGGCACTTCTGCTGAGCCCTGACAGCCCTGCAGCTCCAGCCATCTCTCGCTCAGGCTTGTGCGGTGCTGCCACCGATTCAGCTCATTCCCCTTCCCCGCTACCACTTTTCTAAGATGGTCGCGTACCACCTGCCAGGTGGTACCTGTGCCACTGGTTGAAAAACCCTGACCTAGATAACTTGATTTCTTAATTATTCTTCTTTGCAGTTCTTGGAGAATTTATGCATCCTTGTGAAGATGATATTGTTTGTAAATGTGTCACTGACGAAAACAGAGTACCTTATTTCAATGCACCAGTTTATTTAGAAAACAAAGAACAGATTGGGAAAGTGGATGAAATATTTGGACAACTTAGAGACTTTGTATCCTTTGTGTACTTTTGAATGCATCTAAATTCAAAGTAAACAAAATAGTTAATTTGCTTATTTGTATACAAGAAAAGATAAAACATCTAAAAGTTACATTCAGTTTTAGCCGTCTATACCACTGTATTCTGTCTATTAAGTAGTTTATTTATTAATTTATTTATTTATTAATTTAATTTATATACCACCCTTCTCCCGTAGGACTCAGGGCGGTGCACAGCATATTAAAACAAGTACAAATACAAAATACAAAAAATATAGACCCCTATAAAACCAAATTAAAAACCAAATATTAGAAGCTGTTATTCCTATTAAAATTATTCTTAAAATCATCCCTAAGTAAAATCCTCCCTAGGTCAGGCCCGCTTACTGGAAAAGCCATGTCTTGAGGGCGCGGCGGAAAGTAAGGAGATCCGGAATCGTCCGGATCTCGGGGGGTAGTTCGTTCCAGAGGGTGGGGGCACCCACAGAGAAGGCCCTCCCCCTGGGGGTCGCCAGCCGACATTGTTTGGCCGACGGCACCCTGAGGAGACCCACTCTGTGGGAGCGTACCGGTCTATGGGAGGAA